ATTGAAGCGTTAATGTAAAAGTTAACTTAAAACAGAGAAAGAAATAATTCAGAAGCTAAAAGTTTACTAAGTAACTTATACTTATGAAAGTTTACAGTTAATTTACAGTTAAATCCAAGAGACCTGCAATTCTTTAAATAATAATTCAAACAGTGGACCTACCAAATATATAAAATCCGCAGTCCACTAATAACCTATGATATTGATACGACTATAAACTAACAAAAAAAAATCAAATTCCGTCTCTAGATATATTTAAAAAACTAATTTTATTTTAATTAAAACACACGATTACGGAACTAAAATTCGTTTGCCGTTCCATTGTATTCATAAAAAATGAACCATGTAATTTAAAGAAACTTCTACTAAATAACTGTATTATGAACCTCTGTACCAACTTAATCCCAGCTGAATCGGTCCACCGGCTCCCGAGAAATATAGATTACAGTTTACGCAAAGGTCATTTCGCGAAAAACGCGTTGAAAGTTTTAAGCCCTGCTGTAGGCATCGCTGCTGCGCGTGTCTATCACAGACCGCAACTTTGTTAATTTCACGAATTACCAAGTGAAAGTTAAAGAGAATATCGTTTAAAGTTAGTACAATTGAATGGAAACATTTTTGGAAAATCAGTGGGAAGCTTTCTCTCTGTTTAATCGCTTCGCTTCGTGCAATTATTCAAGGTTACTTCTTAATCGCGTGCATTCGATAGTTACGAAATAAATCAATTATGACATTGTGTAATATTTCTTACGGCATGTTACAAAGAGCTTCAACAATTCCCCAATTGTTACAAGCTCGTCGTGTTTACGGTATCTGTTGGAGCAGGATGATCAAAATACATAAAAAGTTGACAGAATTATTATTAGACAATCGATATTTATGCAAAATAATAATTTCCCGCGCTAACTGCAAAATATAGGAACTACGTAGACATCGATTTCGTTCTTTAAACATTATAGTCAGATGAAAATAACGTGTAGATCGATAAAATGTAATTCGAGCATCTCGAAATGTCAATGACTATGTATGGAAAGCGACGAAGAGTTTCACGAGTGTTTTATATTACAACAAAATTGCCGCAAATTACCCTCACTTTATCGGTTAACACGTTAAATGCGATTCATCGAAGAAAACACGATCAAGTATAAAGCAAGCCGGCACTGAAGTCCCAGCTGACAACGCGTCCGAGCTCGTGCCTAAGAATCGTAGGAACGAGGATGAAATCCGTTGGAAAAAGGGAGGAGGTAGAGGATCGTCTCGGCGGATACAGCTGTCATCAAAGTGTCGTCTTGTCCTTGTAACTCCGAGTCATTCCCAAGATTCTTTAGCGGCTGGCGGCGTGGCAGGCAGGCAGCGCGGCAAGGCGTTCACGTTACACTTTCCCGATAACCCGTTGAATTTATTCATGACATCCGGCGTGACGCTTAGCGCTCCCCTTTTCCAGCGGATCCACGGGGGAAGTTCGCAGACCGCGTCCGAGCGGCTCGCGGAATTTCCTTCGACAAGTTCCCGGTCCGCTTTTAATAACCGTTCGGAAAGTTTCGAGCGTGAAGAACCGTGACACGCGGGTGAAAAGCGCGGGCGGAGCGGGGGTTGGCGGATGTCGGCGAATTGCAAAGGAAGAAGAGGGGCCATTGTTCGACGGCGGGAGCAAGTTCGAACACGACTTGCCCTTCGATAATTAATAACCGCGCCGGTGAGACGCGGGCACCGCGTTCAGGCCGGCTGAATATTTTTAGCTACTTTATGGCGCGGAAGAAAAAAACTTGGGTCAGGGGAGAATTTACGAGAACCGCGGACCCCACGGAGATTCAGTTGCTCCTCTATCTCGTCCCGTTTCGCGCAGCGAACTTTCTTCCTGGCAAACTTCGTCAATGGGGTATCTCTTCTGGCGATTAAATCTCCTCTTTTCACTTTACTTAGCAAAGCATTCCCTACCTCCGACCCGTCTCGTAATCACGTGCTACTTCACGATATCTTTTCTTCTCTTCCCTTCGGATTACTCGACGATTTCTCATGTTTTAGATTGCCCGGCGAGCTGCGGGACGCAGACACCGTGACCGAGTACGAGCTGGCGTACTACCGGCAAGAGAATTGCGACGTAATGGAAGACAGGTGTCCGGGCGGCTTCTGAACCGACAGAATCGTTCTTCTTAATTCTAGGGATGAACGGGAGGAGGCATGCGAGAGGATACCTCGAAAGTACTCCGGTTACGTTCGATTAGGACGACCGCGTCGCGTCGTGTTGCTTCGACGATGGTGCTCTATCTACTTGTTGTTTGATTAAAATGCTGCTTCTGTTTGGAAATGTAAATAATAGACGGGTCTATCGTTTCTTTCGGTTTTCTCTTCGCGAAGTTAACGGGCAAGAATTCACTACTGCATGAGCAATAGCTTCAACGTGAACGAAGTTGTCCCGTCGATTCGCTTTCTTTTGCTAGAGTAAACGATTTTGATCGGCTTTGTATCAAATCGCCGACAATCATTTCATCAACATCGAGCGGCATTGATTTCGTCGACAATATTAATTGACCGCCATGGTCAGTTGCAATTTAAAATATTAAACAAATTGGCAGTATTTGAAAATGTCAATGTATTACTTTTAATCGATTAAGGTTATTACGAACAGAAAGAACATGCTATTTAGTCTCTGCTTCTTGCAGTTGATGTAGATAATTTGTATTTTGTACAAATATCTGTACTCTAATCGTCACAGTGAATAAAATGGTATATGGTACCAGGGAATCTATATCTTTAGAGTATCGTGGTAGTTTGAGAATATATCAACATGACGACTTATCTATTATATAACTCTTAGTTTGCCCACATCTTGAACATTATTCCATCGTATGGAACCTTTGTTATAATTACTCGTCTATCGTGATTGAACGTCTACGACCTAAATTTCTTCATTCTGTGTCACATACAGTGGAATTTAGAGTGGATTTTAATGAAAATAAGACATGTAATTTAGTCGTTAACTTACATTATTAATGCGAAGATTGTTAAAAATGCTGAATATTCAATGACGATTTTCATGTCAACGAAGCTTCACTTGAAAAAAAATTTAGTTCTTTATTTTCTATTTGATCTTTCATGTAGAATCCCCCCCCTCCTTCTATTGTAGCACCCATGGTGGGACACTCTGGACACACATCGCATATGTCTAGCTTGATCAATTAATTTAGTCTATTAGCTAGCACTTGTATCATAACCGGATAGTGTCGGTACCAGTTATATATCAATATATAATATACGTTACAGCAAATCATGTTTCCAAATCATTGAGTTGATAATTGAGCTTTAGGTGTAGCTATTAGTATTTCGAATTCAATATTTCGAAAATACCGAAAGTTCTGAAATGTAGAATATCGATGAGGGAAAAGTTGAATCGAATTTCATCTTTGACGAAAATAATAGAGAAAGTATTTATTGTCAAATATGCAATAAAAATGTAGAATGCGATCAAAAATTACGATTAGTGGGATTCATGTGTCACAACACTGCTTAAGTAAAATGTGCACCGATAGTGTGATATGGAACAGTTATTTTCGGCTTGCGAATTAATTTTCATTGACAAATGCCACCAATCAATGCCATAAAATATAGAAAAAATCGCTTATAATATACTGTAATTAAAAGCATAATGTACATCGAAATAACTGTAAAACGTTTCTTGATACTTAATATTAGACTTAACACTTAATATAGCATATAGTTAACATCGTGCATATTTTATATATCTTCATGCATATTTTTCATAAATGTCACAAGCATTTTGCATATTTATCGCGCATATGCATCCGCAGTCTAAATATAACATAACGTCCCAGTTTTTATTCCATTATCAAATATTGTATCATTTATTTCAACGTATTGAACATTAAATAATTTTTCGGCGCTCTTTATTCTTTCGTTTCGAATGTATTATTTAACACAACCACCGATTTAATAACATTGCCTTTGTTCCTTTTTCGCTAAATAAAGTAATACTGTAATACTAAAGTTAATCATACTCATATCAGTTAAAATTATCTTCGAGTTTTTAATATAAGATGATGCCATAAAACGATGCACGATACAGTAATTTCTACAGAAATTATAGTTTTCATAGTTACCGATTGTCAACAATTCTAAAAACGAGGTGCAATTTGTGCGCAATTTGAGCGCGAATTAGGGAGAAATTATTGTACACTGTTGTATCTTCTTGAAAGATAACCAAACACGCATTGAACCAAGTTGCCTAATCAATAGTAATCTGATAAGTTTTTCAAGAACCGACTGTGTTTCTCGAATGCATTTATCGACGCTACAGAATCAGAAAATGTAAGGAACACAGTTTGCCGTGCATTCTTCCGTACCCAACGCATAAAAATGCGCAACGAGTGTCGCATTAATATTAAATGCCAGTAATAAAGCAGTTTGTCGCGTAACGCCCGGAGGCAGCGTTCGCGGGCGCTGCCAGTATTTCACGATTACACGGTTTTCATGTTTAACACGTGTATGGCGGCTGTAATTTTTAGAGCCGTCTGGGAAATGGAAAGACAATGGCAGCGCCGTTGCAAAATTAATCAAGTTCTATGGAAAACACTCTCTCGAAGGGAACGGCCGCGTTGTCAGTATTGAATTTTTTAATGGACGCGGATCGCCCTTTACGAACGTGGGACGCTTGCGCGCGTATAATTATCGGCGACGTTAAGCGACACCGAAGATTTTCGATATGTGGACTCATAATTTCGAATCGGAATCTGTGTATAGTTGAGCTCACGATATTCTGAGGCCGTAAAATCGGCTGAGCCGCAAGGTAATCATTAGACTGCGGATCTTCGGGCAAATTTTCATTTTAACATACGTCGTTTTAAGAAAATTAAAATTGTACGGTCCCGAAAGGACACATGCCGCCGTCCCCATAGACCACCAGCGGCCAAGGGTCCGCATCCCTTGCGCCGCACGTGCGACCACTCGAGATGCTCCCGATCTCGGGTGTCGCGAAATCGGTCGCCCCCTTGAACCATCGGGACCGTCGCCAGGCCAAGGGCCATAAATCCACGGCGGGCCATTCGGGCCCACGTCGTCATGCTGCTTCGGGGTAACGTCTCGCTCCGGGAGTCTCGACCGTTTTCGGCATTTTTTGGGAGTTTCCCAATATTGACTCGAGGGTGGGCTTGCGTCCTCCGCCGAAGAGGGGATCTAACGAGAAGATTCTCCTCCCTCGAGTCAATCAGCGAATGGGGATGACGTTTCCCCCAAATGGGGCCTTAGCGAGGCATTCCGCGAGGCGATAAAAAGACGATACTCCGAGGCAGCAGACGAGAGACAAACGAAAGACAGACCAGAGACAAGATAGAGACACGATAGAGACAAGAAAGGGACACGAATTAAGACGCGACTTCACAACCATTCGAGCGAGCTATCGATAAACGGCTATCGACAAAATATTGTTAAACCGACCAACTCCCAACCACGGATCCGTTGAAATAGTCGCCCAATGTTAAATCGGCCGGCGACAAGTGCGGGCTAAAACATTATTCAATAAATTCGTTATTGTTGAACCGAACGAGTTGTTAATATCCTCGGCACGAGAATCTACACCTCAGTTCAGGAAACAATTTAATAATCTACCATTGCGAACTTGTTCATTAAATGGTTTCTTAAACTATTCATGGTTTGAATATTAGTTGTTGCAATTACAAGATCATCTGCATGTAGAACTGCATAAATATTTTTAGAAACATCTTCTGTGTCTAACATATAGGTACAACACACGATCTACCGAGAAATTTTCAAAATCTTTCTCTTCAAGAGTCTTTTCAAATTCTTCAAACCAGCATCTTGCTGCTTGTTTTAAACCATACAAAAATTTATTTAATATACAGACTTAATCTTTATGTCTTTTTATTTCCTTGTATACCTTCATATAAATCTCCTCTTTTAATTTTCCTCTTAAGAATGAATTAAGTGGAGAATTATAAATCTAAAACTCAAGATTCTTGCAATCGGAGTGAATTATTATCTTTATGTTCCATATGTANGTCCTCCGCCGAAGAGGGGATCTAACGAGAAGATTCTCCTCCCTCGAGTCAATCAGCGAATGGGGATGACGTTTCCCCCAAATGGGGCCTTAGCGAGGCATTCCGCGAGGCGATAAAAAGACGATACTCCGAGGCAGCAGACGAGAGACAAACGAAAGACAGACCAGAGACAAGATAGAGACACGATAGAGACAAGAAAGGGACACGAATTAAGACGCGACTTCACAACCATTCGAGCGAGCTATCGATAAACGGCTATCGGCCAAATATTGTTAAACCGACCAACTCCCAACCACGGATCCGTTGAAATAGTCGCCCAATGTTGAATCGGCCGGCGACAAGTGCGGGATAAAACATTGTTCAATAAATTTCGTTATTGTTGAAACGAACGAATTGTTAATATCCTCGGCACGAGAACTACAAAAATTGATTAACCCTTTGCACTCCGCGCCATCCCGGACGTTGTCTATCAACTACTCGGCACCACCTTGACTCAAAAACGTGCACTTACAACTTCCTAAACTGATGACTTTTTAACATAAATAGGTTAATACCTTTTTGTAAAGAATATTAAGACGCATCAACTGATGTAATAAAAGCTATACGATTCCGTTTTAAAAAACGTTAATGACCTTCACATGTCCTCTACACGTCCACCTACCAGAAAATCCCCCTCGAAACTATTCAACTTCATCTGAAACGTTTTTCGTCACACGTAGATGGCAATATGTGGTGACCCACCCTGTATAGAGTATACCTGAGTATATTATATTATATAGTATAAGATATTAAAATGATATTCGATTTATATGAATTTGTAGACATCGAGGAACATATACATATTCGCAAGAAAGATCAGCATTTTATTTCTTATAATTTTGTGTGTGTGTGTACAGTATTATAAATTTTAAAGCATTCCAATATAATGAATTTTAATGTCCCCTTAGAGGAAATATCCGAGTGATATGCTAGAATCACGATGTCCTCCGAGAGGGGACAACGCAGTGCAAAGGGTTAAAAATCTCTTTTATCAACTAAAAGATCACTCATTGCTAAGAAAAAATAAAAATTTTGTCGCAGGGGTTACTGCGACGGTTTATATAAAATAATCCGAGAGAGTTTTTTTGGTTTTTATATAACGAGAACTTTAATATAACTTGTAACAAAAGGCGATGAGGTACAGTGTGTAGAAGGTAAAGGTAAACGAGTGACGGATGAGACAGAAATATGAACACGTTGAGAGTCGGAGGAAAACTTGCTAACTGACTTCTCCCGGTCGAGAGGTCCTCGTATTTATTGGGGAGAACGTATTGAAATTGGTAAGGGAAAGTCCTTGGGAAGGGCGAAGGCCTTTCCCGAAGATTTTCCGACCGGGGTGATCCGG